ATAGATAGATAGATAGATAGATAGATAGATAGATAGATAGATAGATATGGGCGGATCTTAATTAGGGCTTATATTGGGTGCAGGTTTAAAAATCAAGCTAGGACTTACTTTCAGGGTAGGTCGTATTTTCGGGGGAAACAGGGTAACACTCCCGAGTTCAAGGAGGATTGGTCCAGCTGTCAAATGTTGTGTTCTTTCTGTCTCGGTTTTGACTGACAGGGAGACCCAAGACCGCCCTGTCGTATCTCCAGAGAACGTTTGGGCAAAGCGAACCCAGTGACGCCATCAACTCTCGGCTGGGAATTCTGCAAGCAGTGTTGGGCAACTTGAACGGCGTCCACGTTTTGGCTACTTTGGCAGGGAAGGAATGCAAAGACTTAGAGCACCTGATGGGGTTTTTGGATGGCAACCAGCAGCTAAACCTTGCTCAGGTGAGTCCGCCACCGGCTTACGTAGCTCAAGCAGGAAAGCAGAGATGGGGCCAAGGCCATCCGACAGTTATCAGCTGCCTTCAGAGTCAGACATCAGTGAGGCAGAAGAACAGATGGAGCCTGTTCCCAGTGTGTGCATGCACAGAGTTGCCAGAAGAAGGGAACTGCTAAGGAACAAGGGTCGACGTGGGCGTAAAGCCACAGGTGGACAGTGAATGGCCCCTCCCATAGGGAATAAAAGAGGAGCGAAAGGGGAGTGGGGTTTTGCGGGAGACAGTTAGTTCAATTCATTAGGGTGAAGATCTGTTCCTGACTTCTTACCAAGTAATTGCTGCTACAGCATGGCGTTTGGAAGATATCAGCCTGGCAACTCTCCAAGCCTGATAAAGGTCTGTAACTGGGAAATATTTTGAAAGACTTGGCCGGGACTTTGCTGGAGAGGAATTCATTGTAAAATAAATAAAAGGGGTTTCTCGGGCCGAGGAATCAGCTTCGTGCTGTTGGGAAAACCTAGGTCAGAACAGGTGATTTGAGAGTTGAGCCAAAGCAGGAACTGGGGTAACCACCATCTACTTCATCCCTAGGTGGCAGCCAGAGAAGCGAAGGCACTGATGAAGGACCAGTGCCCCCTAGGAGCCATGAAATACCTCGCCTTGGCCATCTTGGCAAGCCACAATAGCCCACAATACCTTCGCCAACGGGTTGCTTGCTGGACCCAGTTGGAAGATTACCAAAATGCCTTGACCGACATCCAGAAGGTTGTCCAAAACCATGGCACAAACAGCTTGAAAACTCAAGTCGGCGACTTCTGCTCCTGGGCTTACTTGCTCTTATCCACTTCTGACGAGGAGCAGTCCGTCAAGCAATTTATTCACGCCTTACAGCTTGAAAAATCCTTGGCCCTTAACCACATCTTGGCTGGCCACAGGAGGGAAGAGGTGTCCAAAGCCTTCCTACGGACTGCCCGAAATTATTTGGCAGCAGGCTGTTATGAAGAAGCCTGGACCACTGTGAAATTCGGCCTTCTGGTGGACCAGAGCAACCCCGAGCTTCAAAAGCTAAACGCCAGAATTAAACGGCAGGGGACAGGTTGCAAAATTCAATAACCTACTGTGTTTCCCCGAAAATAAGACCCAACCGGAAAATAAACCCTGGGACAATTTTTCCCAGGATGCTCCTAATATAAGCCCTACCCCATTTAAGATCATCAGCCAGACGGATGCATTTAGTACCGTAGTTCCCTCCCCCCCAAAATAAGACCCAACCAGAAAATAAGCCCTAGCATGATTTTTTTCAGAAAGCTTCTAATATAAGCCCTACCCAAAAAATAAACCCCATTTAAGATCATCAGCCAGACGGATGCATTTAGTACTGTAGTTCCCCCCACAAAATAAGACCCAACCAGAAAATAAGCCCTAATGCATCTTTTGGAGCAAAAATTAATATAAGACCTGGTCTTATTTTCGGGGAAACAACGTATTTCTTGTTGGGTTCCTCTAACTGCATCCTTCTTGGCCTTTTCTCCTTTCTTTCTACTGGCCAAGAAACTCTGTTAATTCTGCCCGGGAAACTGAAGAGGGAGACATTTAACTGGTTAAGGCGGCCACGCTGCCGTCGGAATCAGAATTTGGCTTATTCGTCGGTAGAGTTGAACAGGAACAACTAAAGCTTTCTTCAGGTTTTCCTCCAACATGGGAGAGAATCCTGGCCAGGCCTCGAAATTCTCGATCAAAAAGTCAAGAAAAAAGTTTGGGAACTTTTCCAAAGTTTGGAAATATTTTCCCCATGCATGGGAATCGGATGACTTCACCAAAATTACAAAACGAACCTCAACACAGGTCCCATCCCTTCTTTTTCTATTTGTGTAGAAGTATCACAACTTACAAGAGTTTGTTTAGGGATGGTTCAAAATTACGACGGCGCCAACAAAAAGCGACTAAGGACTAATTTCTCAACTGCAGTGATTCACTTAACGGTGGCAAAAAAAAGCTGGGGCAAAACTCACAGCGACTGTCTGTCTTAGCAACAGACATTTTGGTCTCAATTGTGATCATAATTCAAGGGCGGGATGTGCTAATTAAGCCAAGGAACAATTACAGGAAGGGGAAAGCACAGATACTTCATTCCAGTATCCTGAGAACATTTATCGTGCCAAGATTTGAAATTCTCGTTCAAGGAAGATCGGAAATCTTTTAAATCCATTTAGTCATTCGTTTATTTGTTTAAGGAAAAACAAAAAGATCGGATAGTATAAAAAATATGTGCCCGGAGGGGCTGTTTTTAAACCAGCAATAGATCTTCTCGTGCAATGTTTCTCAACCTTGGCCACTTGAAAAATATGTGGACTTCAATTCCCAGAATTCCCCAGCCAGCTCTGGGAGTTGAAGTCTGCATAACCTCAAGCGACCACGGTTTGCGAAACACCACATAGTGTTTTAAATCCATCATCGCCTGAAGTATTCACCTTGCAATTTTGGAGAACTATTGCAGATTTTTGATAGCTGGTCCTTTTGTTTAAACATATTGCGACTGGTTTTAGGATTGTGCTGTACACTCATCTTAGAGCAAACAGTGTAAATGCCAGCTGGATACACACCCACACCCACTCACACAAAGGTCCTACATCTTGCCCACGCCCATCCCCCACTGGCTCGTAGCAATGCCACCGGAGAATATTTCTGACCGATGACCGTCCAAACTTCTGCCTGCAGACCTGTGACGAAGACCTGTCATTCTTGCGTCATGACAGTCCCTCGCGTAATACGTCCACAGATGGATCTATCTGTCCCTTCCATAGGTCCTTCCCGCTCCCCCTGACACAAGGCAGACTTTTGCCATTAAAAGGACTGTTCATAAGTCGAAAACTGTTGTCCACAGTGGTGGGATCCAAATAATTTAACAACCGGTTCTCTGCCCTAAGGATTTCTTCCTAACAACTAATTCATCAAACTGCTCAGAAAGTTAACAACCGGTTCTCCTGAACCAGTGCGAACCGTCTGAATCCCACACACTGGCCTCTCTTCTTTGGAGGGACACAGAAGCAGGAGTAGAGAACGACAAAACAAAATGCCATCCAAAGGACAGATTCACGCAGGCAATTTCTATCCTGTATTATGGGTCTCTTAGATTTGCAAACGGATTTGTGTCACGCTACACAACCTCACCTGATTCAGAAGAAACAAGGCCTGGCCCAATAAGGATCCAAAAATACTCCTCTTTTGGGGGGTCATTTTCTTTGACTAAGGCACATTTGGAGGCAGCCAACCCTACAACCCACTAAGTCCTTTGCATGGAACTTGGGAGAGGATCGATTGTGTTCAGATGATTTCAAAAGCCCTTCAATGTGTTTTCTCTTCCAAACCCACAAGAAAATGTGTCTGTACAGTGAGTCCTGGATTTGTGATGGTTTGTTTAGTGACTGAAGTTACAAAGGCACTGAAAAAAAAAAGAGGGATCTTTGATCCCCTTTTCACATTTTTACAACCGTTGCAGCATTTCAAATGGAGTCCGCTTGGCAATGGACTCGTATTTATAATGGTCACATGATTGAAAATCAGATGCTTAGCATCTTTGCGGTCTACTGGCAATTAAAGCTCACAGGGAAGCCAGATTTATTTAACGGAGGCCTTCTAGTTTGATAAATCCTTTTTCACGGATGCTGTGAGAACTCCCGACATTGGCCAGAGACCCAGAAAAATTGTGGAACTTGTTGTGTGTGGGGGTTATTATTATTTTTTTTTTCGTAGTGTTCTTCTTCAGTATTTCCCTTCCTTGGGAAGAGAAAAGATCCCGTCTTTAGATCCACACGTGTTTCATCTTGGCCCACTGGAAAAAAGGATCCTTTCCAACAGATCCCAATGGGATCCACTAAAGTCCGTGTCTTTGGAGACCTTTTTTTTCCCCCACCATAAACACACAAGTGGGTAGTGTTGCAAACCTTGTCGCCTCTCATCAATTTGCGTAACTCGGCTGTCCAATATTCGGGTTAGTTTCCTGTATGGGTTTTACCATGCATTCCTTCTCTGGCCCCGGATAATACGGCTCCTCTTCTGCCTAAAACCGTGAGAAATGATTTTGTCAAAAATTAGAATGAATTCAGAATTGGCACACCTTTATCAATTAGAATTATGCATTAAGGCCTTTGGTTCAGGAGACCTAAAGAATCACGGAATTCGGGAACCAGGGGGGAGGGGGTCCCCCAAGGTCATCAAGTCCAACATTCTACAGAGTGCAGGAAAACTGAATTAAACTGCCCCCGTAAGTGGGGTACAATCCAGCTTCTTAAGAGATAGGAAACCTATAGCTTCCGTTAATGGATTTTACTATTGTTGTTGTTGTTGTTGTTGTTGTTGTTGTTGTTGTTGTTGTTGTTATTACATGAAAATCAGTCAACTGAACATTTAAAAATGTATCACAAATATCACTGACTGCTTCTAATCCAACCCAAGTGGGGTCTTGCGTTTTGTATATTTTTTTCAATTTCCCCCAAATTCTTTTTGTGTCGCTTCCCCGCCATTTTGTGACTGCTCCCTCGGGGTCGCTGCTTTGAGGAACAGAATGAAGGGGACCTCAAATTTGTGTGTGTGTGTGTTTACGGCCGATTTTTATTTTTAAATCTTACAGCCGCATTCTCAGAGTGGGAGAATTTAATTTCTCACCGTGAGAAATGAAAGCAAGTTATCGACTCCCAAGAAGACATTAAAATAATAATAACAGTTCCCACTTACCTTATTTTTGCCGATGGCTGCAAACAAAAAAGAGAATTTTTTTTTTAGAAATATGCATTCTCTTTTTAACCAAACGTTAAAATGATAAACTAGCAAAAAAAAAAAAAAATCCCACCATTCTCCATCCTTCCCTCTTTTCGAAGCGTTTGAAGCGACAACCGGCCTGCAAAAAAGTGCCTTCGGACCACTTATCACACCTCCGTAGCAGCCCCATGATCATGAGATCAAAATTCAGACTCTCGGCGACTGTTTCATGCTTACGACCATCACTGTGCCCCAAGGACACGAGATTCCCCCTTTAGCGACCGTCTGAAAGTCAATGGGGAAGCCGGATCCGCTTAACGATGGCATCCCTAACTTATCCACTACAGGGGTTCACTTGGGGTGGGATTCTACCAGTTCGGACCGGTTCTATAGAACCGGTGGATAATATTCGGCGCAGTTTGGAGAATCGGCAAATCGTGTCCCTGGCTGGCCCCACCCCTCTCCGCCCAGCCAATCCTTATTGCACATGCATGACATTGCTGACTGCATTCTCCCCCACCCAGTCACTCCTTAAGGTTTTTCCCCCCTCCCGATGATCAGCTGTTCCAACAATCAGCTGTTCCAACAATCAGCTGTTCCAACAATCAGCTGTTCCAACAATCAGCCGTTCCGGGATCCCCTTCGCTGTCTTACTGCTTCGCCCAGGAGGTTTCCCTGAGGCCCAACTGACCAATTGTCGATAGTTCTTCCGATGGGCATGGAGGTTATTTTTAGGATTGGCAGGGCTGTTCTCGCCTACTTACCTTTCATCAGGCATTTTTTCTTTTTCCAAACTATGAGGCTTATGGTGAAGATCAGCAGCAGAATGGAGACGGGAACTAAGATGAGCGCAAGCTTCGTTGGTGGTTGTGGCCCACAAACCACATCAGAGGTTGCACTGCCTTCTTGTGTTTGGATCAAGCCTTTCTCACTGCAACTGAGGTATGGGGGGAAGAAACATTGAAGGAAATAGAAAAGGAAGGAAAGGAGAAGGGGAGGGAGGGAAGGGAGGAAGGAAGGAAGAGAGGAAGGAAGGAAAGGAGAAGGGGAGGGGAGGAGGAAGAAGGAATGGAAAGGAAGGAAAGGAGAAGGGAAGGGAAGGAGGAAGAAGGAAGGGAAAGGAAGGGAAGGAAATGAAGGGAAGGGAAAGGAAAGGAGGAAGGAAAAGGAAGGGAAAGAAAGGAAAGGAAGGGAAGAAGGGAAAAGGGAAAAGGGAAGGGAAGGAGAAAGGGAGGGAGAATGAAGGGAGGGAGGAAAGGAAAGGAAGTAGAAGGGAAGGAATGGGAAGGGGAAGAAAGGGAAGGAGAAAGGGAGGGAGAATGGAGGGAGGGAGGAAAGGAAACGGAAGGAAAGGGAGGGATACTAGTCAGACCCATCTGATAAAGGGATGGTGAATGGAGACAAAATATATTCAATTTTATTCCTGATGAGTATTGATCTTCAAAATTGGGACCCTTCACATAAGTTCTATTTCCATGCCATTTCTGGACCCCGGAAGCCAAGAGTTTGGGTGAGTTAATGAGACAACTTCTTTGCAGTAGGTGTTGAACGGATGGATGGGGAGATAAAGAAGGCGTCCAAAATTCATTGTCAACTTCCTTCTGTTACACAGGTGTGTCTTCCAGTTCAGGAGTATTTTTTTTTAATTGATTAGCACAGGTAGCCCTTGACTGACAATGGTTCACTCGGTAACCGTTCAAAGTTACAAAGGCCCTGAAAAATGGGACTGAGGATCATTTTTCACGCTTACAACCAGGGGTGGGCTACTACCGGTTCGCCACGGTTTGGGCGAACCGGTAGCGAAATTCAATATTTACATAAATATTTATAATATTTACATACGAGCCACGCCCAGCCAGTCACATGACCACCAAAGCCATGCCCAGTCAGCAAGCCACGCCCAGCCAGTCACATGACCACCAAAGCCACACCAAACAAATTAGGCCACACCCACACAACCGGTTGTTAAGACAATTGAATCCCACCCCTGTACTGCACACTCTTACCACTGTGCCACCGCGGCTCATTTAATCTAGCTAGGTGGCCAACAGGAGTCCAGAAAGGGGGGATTATTTAGGGCCACGGCATCCATTAATTAATCTGAAGGAAATGGGAATTATTAGAGAAGAGAAGGAAAAAAAGAGTGTTTTTTTTAAAAGAAGATGCCATTTCAAACAAGGTGGAGTAGCTGAAAGAGCCTTACTTGGTCCATTCGATGCAAGAAGGGGACATTTCTTTCAACGAAAATGTTCCCAGAGGACAGGGTTCATATTTCACATTGTTAATTTCAGTGCCTGTAAAAAAAAAAAAAAAAGATTTTGATGGGTTCTTGGATTGTCTAAGCGCCGAGAAAAGCCAGCACCAGAAGAACGGATTGACGTACAGGAAGTCTTCGACTTATGACAGTTCATTTAGTGACGGTTCAAAAGTTACAAACGGGCCATGTACCGTTTTTTCACACTTACGACCATTGCCGCATTTAGGTGCTTGGAAACTGGCATGTACTTATGACAGTGGTAGCAGTGGTGGGATTCAACCAGTGTTACTACTGGTTCAGTGACTACATTTTTCCTTCCGTCCTTCCTTCCTTCCTTCCTTCCTTCCTTCCTTCCTTCCTTCCTTCCTTCCTTCCTTCCTTCCTTCCTTCCTTCCTTCCTTCCTTCCTTCCTTCCTTCCTTCCTTCCTTTCCTTCCTTCCTTCCTTCCTTCCTTCCTTTCCTTCCTTCCT